CGGGGCGGTGATGCGCGGGGCGGGCGGGCGCGTGGGTGTGAGTGGGGCCGTCGGTGGCGTCCGCGGAGGCATTACCCTCGTCGGAGGAGCTGTCGTCCCCGCCACCACTCGTCGCGGCGCGCGCCGTGTCCTTGGACGCGTGCGGCGTCGCGTTGCCGGTGGGCGAGTGAGGACGCCCGGCGGGCGTCTGGGGCGTCGCCGGCGCCGTCGCCGTCGCAGTCGCAGTCGCCGGCGTCTGCGCCGTCGCTCCCTGCTGCTTGCTCTTGCGGCCCGGCGACGACGAGTCCTTGAGCGGCCTCACGCCGGCTAGAAGCCTGCGGACACCGCGCAATGCAACCGTTTCAGAGCCATTCTCAAGCGCGGGTCGTTCACACACGATGCGTGTCTAGCATAATTGCAGGGGGAGAGAAACATTCCATTTATATATAGGCTAAGGAGACGTGGTTTCTTCTACAACTCTTAGCTAAATTGTACCTCCCCGCCATAACAATGTACTAACAACATCGAAAGTTTCACAGACTCACGTCCCTTAAACTTTTCGTACTTACATTTTACAGCAGACTAGTAAAGGAGATTAATACCAACAGCAAAGTGACTATTTAAAGCCCAAGCAACTATATTTTATAAGCAAATAATTTAAAGTTGGCGCCATATTCCGATCTGATATTAGTAGACAAACATCTTTCAGGAAAATAAAATCTTGCAGGAATAAAAATTGCAATGTTTGTTTTCCATTTCGTGTTCAATGTGTTATTATATTAAAATAATTGGGTCTGAGTATGAAAAGATTTCAGAAATGAAGTGTATGTTGTGAAAGAGATTTTCTCAGTCGACCAAGTTCTCGAATCAAGCGAAAATTTTACAGCACTTCCCTGCCCAATACGATATCCGTTGTATGCTGAAACAAACCGTTGCATAGTTCCGAGTGGTATACAAACTGTCGCATTGCAGTTTTGGGGTGTTGTCTAATTCACCAAAATTATTCAAAACAGATTTAAGGAAACCTACTTCCTGAAAAAAATATTAACACATCCAGATATATTCTAAACTGCTTCATACTCCCTCCAAGCAAATTACCACCTTACCTATACATTTTCCTGTGTAAACAACACACATTTTCGCGAAAAGGATTCGAAGCTCAAAAATAACTTTTCAAAAAAAAAATGTTAATCCCACAATGGATCAAATGCTCTGACACTAAGTCGTTTAGCTATCATCTCTAAAATTGCACATGACCCTCAGAAGAAGAAAAAATCGACAAATCGCTGGAAAAACAAATAATTTGGTCGCTAATGATGTCCGCACGCCCACCTACCTGTAGTTCTTGGGGTCGCGCGCCTTGTCGCGGAGCTTGGAGAACTTCTTGCGGGAGGGCGAGTCGGCGGAGGAGGCGTCGGCGTCGGAGTGCGCGTCGGACGTGGCGGGGCCCGAGGCGGCGGGCGTGGCGGGGGTGGAGGCGGCGGG